AAATGATATATAAATATTTTAACGATCTATCCACTGCTGCATACTACAGATTCTATTGTATTTTTTTATCATTATTCATTGTACAGTGAATGGGACTAACAATCAATAATATTCCGCCATAAATATTCAATTGTCAATTCTGTATTATACAACACTAGTCTTTGTTTTCCCATGTGCGTATTTTCTTCCCTCCAGGTAGATATGTCTGTTTATCTATCAATATATATATATATATATATATATATATATATATATATATATATATATATATATATATATATATATATATATACGTGGTTATTTGTTCAGCCTGATTGACTCGAGTGTCTGTGCAACTACCAGTTTCTTCATCAGTCTTCGTTTTGCTATGTCAACAACTAGTCTGTTCAGAGTACAACAGCTGAGGAAATAATTACACTATTAAGTTTATTTAAGTAAGTGATAAACGTGGTTTAAGTCAAACATTCACAGTCCGAGTGTTAGGAAAAACTAGTTTTGCTAACTGGTAGATTAGCCCAAGCTCCAGAGGCTATGATAAGATGAAAGTTTCTAAGTAACCTTTAGATCTGGTGTCTGATATTAGAGAGGATTCATTCACTTGGTTGGGTTATAAATCTGTTTACTAAAATTTGGAATACACATTTAGCATATTCACCTACTACCAATTTTACTGTTTGACCCTGAATGAAGTATTTGCTAGATGTGACAATTAATTAACAATTTCAAGTTGTTAGTCATCGTAGACTGACACCAGTTGGAGGAACAAAGGAAACCTGGAGGCACTGGACAGCTGCTTCGTCCTAGTATGGGACTCCTCAGCGGTGCGCACCCACGACCTCCAGGTTCGGCAGCCAGCACGTTACCATTGAGTTACTGGGTCAGAACCTAATGGTCCATATTTTCAACTTCTGTTAGTTCACGATATAGTGCAACCGCCAACCAATGTCATCGTTGAGTAACTGTCCTCACGAGCATCAGGCTTTGACTCCACCGGTCACGACTTTCTCATTGGAACTACGGGAATACCTGTCGAATCCAGTCACCAATGAGCACTAGCGCACTGCTGAAGACTCCCACACTAGGACGAAACAGCTGTCCAGTGCTCCCAGGTTTCCTTTGTTCCTCCAACTGATATCAGTCCACGATGAATGACAACTTGAAATATTTCCAAATCTCCACAACTTCAAAATTTAATTAACAATTGCTAAAGCAAGTGTTAAGATGAGTGACCTTCATTTCATTTTATTTGATGAACAGTTTTCAGACTGCAGTGTACACTCATTGGGAATGGAAAGCTGAAGATTTGAGATAATGAGATACATTAATTTGCATGGTTGTGGCTAGCAGAAAAATCCAGGACGCGCGTTTCGTCCTACTTGGGATCCGTCAGCTGGATGTAACTGGTAGCCATCACTTCAAATCCCCAGGCATTATCCACTATGCCACGGAGGCACGACAGCCACTTCTTCTGCTGGCCATAACCGAGCAAATTATCATAACTACCACTCAGGCGATATCGGGGCATCCGCATAGGAGCTCATATGCCAATAGAAGTCGAACAATTCGATCCATAAAACAACGGAGAATGACAAGTGCATCAATAAGTAGTAATAAGATTTATTGTTTATTCCTTTCCTCAGTTGTATGCCTTTCTTTGTTCCATATCAATTTGTTGCGATTATTTTTGCATATCTTCCTCCTACTTTTGAAGTTTCACCGTTTTGAATTAATGTCATAACATATAGTGTGCTACTTATGATCGATAATGGCTAGCAGTGGAATCCAGAATGCGCATTTCGTCCTATGTGTCTGCCTCCCAGTGAGTGATGTTGTTCCCACTGGGACTCGGACTCGCGAGTGATCACTGGGAAGCAGGTACATCCAGTTGAAGAGTCCTAAATAGGGCGAAATGTGCAAACTGGATTCCACGGCTAGCCACTATCAATCACTACTATAATTAGAACACAAGTAATATTGAGGCATCCGCAAAGAAGCCCATATTGCCTGTAGAGACTGATTAATTTGGTGCAATCAACGGCGGTATAAAACTAGCAACTATACTTTAATATTCTACGTTGTTCAAATTAGCTTTTCACTCATATCATCGTCAAAACCACTATGTTATTGAAATAACGCTTCTTTAGAAAACTGTTTCAACCTTTTCTCGATCTTTGAATACTCGCGTAGATGATATCCTGAAACTTTCAGCTTCTAGTTTCTGTCTACGAAATAGAAGATTTCATTTGATAATCCACGATAAAGTGGCTGAATTTATTTAGATGCAAGAACTCACAACGCTTAATTAAAGACAGTGATTTCTTCCGATTAAAACAATAATCAAGTTTGGAAAAGGTTTGCGCTTAGGAATTGTTCAGCATCATTTTAAATTTCCCCACCGAAAAATCATGTGAAGACTGTTTTCTGTTACAACGTCTATAGTGCAAACAATAAGTTACGTAGTAAGTGTTCATTATGCCTCAACTATTCAACAGAATGCATCACTGAAGAACATCTGTGCACATATAATTTCTTAAACACTGAATAGAAAGGTTCACAAGACACGTTGAAGTGTTAGTCACTTCATTCTGTATTCGAAGTTAATCATGGGACCTGGCATTACTGTGTTTTAGTCCAGGTTGCTACGATTCACATCATTTCAAGCTACAGACAACAAAACAAAATCAGGAAATTAGAAGCGCTGTTATTGGAAGCTGAATGTCATGATAATTGAATGGATGGGGAGCAAAACAAATTACGAAATCTGACATTTGAGACAATTAGTCCTCAATAATATTGCATTGCTAATCGGCCCTCTGTATCTTTAACGCCTTATTCCTTTATGTATCAGTAAAATTTACTTTACATTTGAGGGTGAACATTATCACCAGATAGATAGTGTGTGTATGTAAGCCCTTTAATTTCCTTACTAGTAGATATCTTTATATCACGTGTGAACAACCTGTTTAAAACTTCGGTTGCAAACATCCGTTTTTATAAAACACACTTACTGATCGTCATATGAACGCCAAACAAAAAAACTATTGTTCATCCGATTCCTAAGCAAAATATGTATATTACTGTACTGCATCCCAGGGATTTACGAAGTCCAACCGAATATTGGAAACTCATGGCAACCAGCCGAAGCATATGCTATGCTTCAAAATCATAAAGAAGAAGAACCTAATATACTCCTTTGAGCCCTCACAGTATTTCAACGATGTAGTCACATCTAATTGCATTTATCAGGTTAAATGCACATTCGATCACACATGCATAGGGAGGTTCGTCGATCTATGCGAGTAAGGGTCATTGAACACATTCCGAAATAGGTGCAACGACGAATGAAATTGAGTCATCTTATTGGTTGAGGTCAACTGCATCTACAGCGTAACATATCACTGAAATGAGTCACAAGGTTGCTTTGTGTACATCTTTCAAATCTATTTATAAAACGAATTAGAACTCGTGCTATGAGTAAGTTTCAGCGGCTTTTATATAATCAGAAAAACAGTTTGTGGTTACATCTAACCACCTTTGCTAGCTTAGCCTTAATATCAGGGGTGATCAATATATTATCTTACTCTTTCCGTGTATGATTTGACCTCTAAACCAAAGATGTGACGCAGCATTATATCAAAAATTCTATCAACTCATTTTCCGTTCGTTATATTTAATATACATATGTATGACAAATAAGTGTGTGACCAGATTCTTCGAAATGTATTGCGCTAATACATCAGATTTTTCAGGTAAAAATGGTCTTCTAATTATTTTTTCCTGATAGAAGTTTATGTAATGAAGTAAGAGGCGGTCTAATTTAAGTGCCTCCATGGGGAACTTCACCTAAAACTGAGTTCAATTACAATTACTTTACCACTTAATAGCTACGTCGGGGCTCTCTGAAAGATTCGCGATGGAAAGAAATGGGATAATTTATTGACAGCTCACTCATGATCCATGTCTCCAAATTATAACCAATTATTCCTAATCTCAAAGTTAATGTTGGGAGCACCCAACACTACTGAAAGTGCATGGTGATGGGGAATCTTGTAGGTTGGTGACTGCACTGCTAAGCAGTTAGTAGAGGTTGGTCCGCAATCAGAACTAGACAACATTAAATCACTTCCTCTTTAGTGAACAATTGTTTTTAATGACGTAGTCCTACATGTGGCTGACTTTACCGGTTACAGTTTAGTGATATGAGATTCATATGATCTCGACATGTGTAGTATGTCAGAAAAGCATTTTCCGGAACTTTCGTTGTGCAAGTTACAGCTTCTTCAGCAGAATATTCAAATTTCCTCTACAGTCAAATTATTCATTTAAGTAGTACATAAAATGTTCCTGTTTGTGTGTATGTCATCGGTTAGATGGCATATCGGTCACATTATTAATTATGACTAATTTTACAAAGTGTTTTACGTTCTCATTGTTTGATACCCGTTGCTATACAAGTTCAAACTGATCTACCTATGATGGCAGATGGGCTGCTATGTGGACACCTCGATACTGCCGAATATTCATGATATATTCAAGGAGGAATTACAAGTATTAAACAACAACAATTGATACCTATTGCACAGTTAGTAACCCTTGCACCTCAGTGCCTAGGGGATAACGCTTTGTCAATGGAATTGATGAGTACTGGGCTCAAGTGTCGGTGGGAACAAGATAACTCATTGGGGTGCAGGTAGATTCAGCTGATGAATTCAAAATAGGACGAACATTGCTTTTTTGACTCAACTGCGAGTTACCAAAATGAATATTATACGTTCTTTTTCACTATATATTTTGATTCATTAAAAATCCAGATATTCTGTGGCTTACACAATGAACCATTGAGAAAAAGCTGCGACTATATTAAAATATATTCGTATCATGATCACATCAGACTTGACATTCCATTTTTTTCAGGAAAATAAATAATGGTCCAGACACTCGAATACACTTCGCTTTACATGTAGTTCATCGTTCGGATTTTTGTTCACTTTTCTATTCAGGGCTACAATAAAGCAGTGGACTGGTGGGCGCTTGGTGTTCTGGTCTACGAAATGGCAGCTGGTTATCCACCATTCTTTGCTGATCAACCAATTCAAATCTATGAACGTATTGTATCTGGAAAAGTATGTTATCTTGTTCTTATACAGCTTGATTTATGGGTGAAGGTTTTTTTGTTTTAAAATTTCATCGATCTTTTTTGCCAGTGGTTTATGAAAAAGCTGATTTTTAGGAGGAACGTTCATACCTACACTTTAGTATAAGTCAAAAAATGGAGAAAAACAGTGCAACAAAGAAGAAAATTAAGTTAAGATTTGGTTAACCAACAGTCGGGTCTCGTAGCTCAGTTAGTAGAGCGTAGTGTCGGAAACTAGGTAGTTGCTGGTTCGAATACTTCCACTGTCCAAATTTTTATTCCATCTTCAGTCATCACCTACTTTCAATGATGTAAGTCTCCCAAGCCACTTCTATCTCAGATATTAGAAGTGATAGTCACTATGATTCTCTCCCCCCTTCTGGTTCAAGTAGATTTAGATTAAGACAGAAAGTCCTAATTGATCAGGCAGTGTGTGTACGATCAAGTGATAGTGACGCATCACCAATTCTTGTATCAGTCGGGAAAATCTTTGGTGAATGCAGTAAAGTAAAAATCTGCTCAGTAGTCGGGTTTCATGGCCGAAACCAAGTGGTCACTGGTTCGAATCCTACCGTGGCTCAAATTTTCATTTATCCTTCAATCAGCATCCAGTAGAATCAGGTTAGTTCAAACGTAAAACTAACAAACGAAGATTAGTTTCAGTAGACAGAAAATATGATAAGATTTAAAAATTTTTCCATAATCTTTGAAACGATAACGAGTAAATGTACTTGCGCAGTGCTGGTCGACTTCAAACAGCAATTATTTAGCCACCGATTCCTGACATTATTTTTAGAATACTAACTAAGTAGTCTCTGCCACTTTGGACACTAAAATCACTAACTTAATGCATTTATGCTGTATCTAGCACTGAACGTTAGGTCTAGTTCTGGCTAAGGTGCATAAATAGTTTGTCAGCCGTCCCATCTATGCATGAAGAGAACAAGGGAAGCAGCTTCCATCATAGATCTTTATCTATGCTTTACTGTAATCATCAGCACTAATTAAATCCTCCCATACAGTGGAAAAGTCACGGCCTAAATAGCTCAGTGTTTATACCTGTAACTTCGGTGCTGAGTGACAGAGGTTCGAACTGCTGAGAAGGCATAAGTTTCTATAAAGTTGTAGATACGTCCTACTGGTTAGTGACAAAAGAAAAGCAAAAACACGATTTTCTGCCAAATGATTCCTAACCTCTAATATATTTTATCTAAACACATTTAAATGTTGTTCCACTGTTTGCTTGTTTCTCATCAACATTTTGACTTCAAAGCACGAACTAATTTTATCGTCACACCGAATGGTTAAGCACAACGCGACTGCCCTACAGACTCAAATTTCTCCATAGAACAGCTTTATGCATTATATCACTTATTCGTACAAACACTAAAATCTCTCTGGTCTCGTTTTTCTTGTTATAATGTTCCTTTGTTATGGCTTATTTAAAATTAAAACAGAGTATGCATTCACTGATGCATGCGCAGCTGTAACTGTAACCCGTTCCATTCTATTTTTGACACTTAGCGATTTAAACAGCTCCTTAGAGGTAAAAGTAAGGAAAAGAGGGAAACAAAAATAGGCATTTCAACAAAGAACTGTGTCTAACCCTTCTAAGTTTTATAAAAATTATTCAACAAGTCCATGTACGATCAGACTGCTTGGAATGTATAGAGCTGATGTTTCATATGCCTCAAATAATCTGCCTCTTCACATTACGTTGTTTAAATGCAGTTGTGTCCTTGAGAGTTTAGCTCATAAACTGGTGAACAATTGTTCCATGTTTTTCATCTTCAAGCGTGCGCAAATGTTTAGAGGTGATGTTAAAGAATCACAACATTTCTAAGGTGTACTGTGGAAATTAGCTTTGAGAAAAAATCGTTGCATTATTTATTTTGTAAAACAAAACTACTTTAAAGTCATTTATGTTGGATTACAGGGAAAAAAAGTTAGTAATCAGGGTTACATAAACGACTGGATCAATTGTGAGTGTTTCACACCTATCAGCAGTAGAATGGCACACCAGAAATAGACTGCAGTGGCTCTTCGCTTAACGTGGATACGCTAGTCAGTTCATTTCGGAAGATTTTCAACCCGTGATAGCTCTGTTGCTGATGAAACCTAAACCAGAATATAAAGCGTTTGTTTGAGATTAGTCAATTTACACCATCTTTGGTGGGGAATAGACATCTGATTACCTGTAAGAGGATGCGTGTGCCTGAAGGATGTATGGGTCTGTTAACTGGAAGGTTGGAATCACTGAGATATAAGGAGTCCATGGTTCAAGGTTATTAGTTACATCAGTGGACACTAATCATAAGAGCGGAGATATATTCACTCTTCAAAATGAAAAATTTGAAAATTTTTATAAGCGGGGAACTCACATTTTGCGCTAGAAGGTTGCTAGATACAGCGTGCAGTAACACAGTAGTGTTAAAAGTATAATTTATTGCTCATAGCCAAAGCACCCTATCATACGTGCTTTGTTCGAATAAATTACCTCAAATACGCTGGTATATAAGAATGCTTTGTTTGAAACTTGTGTCCTTCTGTGCAAAGTTTTTTGTTGACCTATCAGTAAATTTGGTTTAGGGTTCAGTTTCCTTTCTCAGCAACTCTTTTCACTACTGTAGTATTGTGGTTGTTAATGCAGTCCTGCAGCAGGGTCAAATAGAAGGCGTATCCTCTACATCAATTTGTAAGAAAATATTTACAATTAAGCACGATATGCATAGATCAGGGTATCTCCTGTGTAAACACTTCCTTCTAGTATTACATCTTTAACCCCTCTTCACTCTAGGTAGTAAGAAGATAGAACTTATGAAAACAGAAAGTGGGATTTCCTCCTCGCAGTTTTACCTGATAATCTTCATGTAAGCATATCAGGGTATAGTTTAATAAGGAGTAAGGAAAATAAATTAAGCTAATATTAGTATTATCCTTTAAATGCCATAAGTCAAGTAAAAGACTGAGGGAATATAGACGCTTAATACTGCTCTTTATGTGATTGAATGTACCTTCATCACTGCAACCTATTTTGCGTTGTGTCACTTATGGTTTTCAGTGATGTATTTCAGTGGTCCCGAAAACCATTACCAATCACATCAAATTTCTCCACTCGATTAAGATTAACAGTTAAAGACTTCCTCAATCTGTTCCTACTTCATTTGCTACCATATATCAAGGAAGATAGTGGCTTGCTAGGTTGTGGAGCATATTTCATGACTGAATCAAACAAACGACTGTAGTTTAACCTGTATATTACACATGCAGTAGTTCACTGACAGGTGAGCGGTGCAAGGCTTACATATCTACTGAGGATTGTATACAGCTATAGAATATTAGTAACACTCTTTTTCGTGCATATACCTAAATGTGTATTATTTACTAGACCGTTACATTTGTTAATGATTTGCAAATTTGTTTTCAGTTCGACAGTTTTCCACTAAATAAAAATTCTATGTTCATATTCTATACACACTATAGGGGTATTTCTATCACAATTAGTCTTTAAGCATCATGAAGAAAGTTGATAATCGTCTTCTCCACAGATATCATGAAAGGCAGTTTATATCATTTGTCGACATGTTTTTGATTGTTACGCATAGCGAAATACTCTCTTGTGAAGTTCTTGTAAGTTCATAATTTTAGAGTTTTTACAGAGAAGTTTAGGACAGAGTTGTTGGGATTGGATTATCTAAATACTTCATAATAACACTAGTAAGCAGTCGTTAAGAGAATACCGAGATGAGTATCTATTTTGAGGTTAGATAAATTCAGATGAGTGGTATTTGTTGACCCTCCTTCTTATCTGTTCCACTTCAATGACCACTTCAAGGGGTCACTATCAGTATCAGTCTATTTAAAAATGAAAGAGAATTTAATCCGGAAACTTTCACCGTAGGTTCCCTCGGAAGCTGAATTCGTAAGATTGCTCAAGTTATCTTACTTTATTAGACTAAAAGGGTTAAGAATATGCACATAAAAGCTGTTTTTGAGCCGCTTCAGCATGACTGTATCTTTTTAATGCTCGTTTCCACATTGCTTTTGCCCTAAGTTTTCAAGAATGTATTTCAGCAGTTCTATCAAAAGCTTTATGACTCTGAATCGTGTTTGTACCACATCTAATGATTTACGCTGGTGTTTCATCACTCCCTATGTTCAATAGCACTACATTGTAATTCGTACACATCATTCAACATCATTTTCATCGGATAGATTACCAAAATCTTATTAAAAACTTCAAATCAAATATAAAATAATAATAACATTTACTAAACATTATTCTCCACGAAAAGTAGCTTCAAATTTACTAGCAAGATATTTGAGCTGAATATCTTCATATCTTCCATCATATGTTTTTTGCTTTATTTTAAAAGAAGTATATATTCATTGAAATCCGTAAAGAAATGAGTTCAACTTGTGTAATTTTCTTCTCTAACCTCATGTGTATTTATATGTCTTTTTATTTGCTTACTTAGTTGAGATTATAGTATAGAGAGAATACGTGACTTTTAGAAGTAAATTACCACTACATTTCCAATCAATTCAGGGGTCGATAGATTTAAAAATTATCGATCTCTTGTCTTCCACTTATATATATATATATATATATATATATATATATATATATATATATATATATATATATATATATAAATGCAATGTACTAGTTAACAATGTGAAAAAGTAAGAGCTATTAACTGCTATAATTTGGTTGCTGAGATGTTACCTTGACCACTAGTATCTTCCACACAGAACTCGTATACCACCGATTTCAATCACATGACAGACTGCTTTCCTGATTTGATGACTTTCAATGGATGTTATGAAACCATGAAAAGTAGTATTTCATCGCAATTTATTTGTGTAAACTATCTATTTAAACAGTTTCAAAATGATAACTATTATGGTTGCCATCATTTATGAGCAGGCCTAAAAGGCAGATTTTCTTGAGACTTTTGTAGACTCCAGCTATTTAAATGATAAAGTGTGTATACATGAGTTTTGGAGTGACCGGTAAAAGTCGATACAGTAATGCAATTCTTCAACGTAATTTTTTTTCAAACGTGATCTTTGGGCAAGAAAACGATGCCAGAGTGAATTAGAAGGAGGCGGACATGCAGATACTATATTTTGATAACCATAGATTGTTCAAGAATTAGAACTATACTGTTTTATATAAAACCTTTCCAACCATAACATTTTGCGTTCTGTGGCAGTCACTGTATTCCTTAAATTTGATAGACGCGTAGTAAACGCTCACTCAAGTTATCGCTATTCAACTGATATTGAGTCAAATTTCATCGTTATTAATTTGGGTTATCTATCCAGACCCATTTATTTGAAGCAGGTTTTATCACAGCTTCAAGTTAGATGGAGGTATTGGAAGCTATGAAACGCGAGACATTTTTCTTCCTTTTTCCGGAATCCTACAATAGACCTAATGGAGATATTTCTTAAGTTTTGTGATCACACTAACAAATCCATTCTCTGCTTCAGGTGCCTGAAGAAGAAGTAGCGTTCCATGACATGGACAACTATGAAGTGTTAGGTGCCTACAGATGTCCAACAATGCACAAAACCCATCTAACCATCACATATCCTGATTACCTTTTTCTTTTGAGTATTTTACTATTTATGTTGCTAAAATTGTTGCTCCTGATATACATACTCCTCATCCCCTTCGAAATTTTGGAAATGTTCTTTAACTTTCATTTATTTATCGCTTTTCATCATAAGACACGCTTTTGTCGCCCATTTTATAATTTAATTTCGTTCCCCTCCTCTTTGTGTGCTGTAGCGAAGTGCAGCCAACTGTTTTGATGCATTTCTGTACATGTTTCTACGTTAATTTCTCTATCTGTCTTCAAGAGTTCACATGCATTATCAAACCTGTGAGCTGCAGATCTGGTGCCAATTGAGTTACCATGCAATAAAGATTTTAGTAACAGTATACTTTTGTTTTAGGATCATAACTACCAAATAACCTAAACAGTCCGGTCTGGTAATGCACTTACACTCGAAAAGGAGTACAAGCGGAGATAACAGGCTGGTTAGATGTTGCACGTGTATAGTACATTCATTGTTTTTTAAGTGTCTCAATTCAATTATTTCCAATACTTTATGAAGCATATCTAGAGGTTCATCTGGTTTGTAAACATACGGTTTGGCAAAACGTTGAGCACTGTATATGTATGAACGAAATAAACTTGTATGTTTTTTCTCATCTTACCATGCCTAGCATGTTACGTCGTTGTAGGGTTTATGTTACAGATTGTTCAGCAGATCTAGCTTGCAAGCCTGACAACACCATTCGAACGGTGGCCTTTGAACTTTGGGCTACCAAATTTATCCGTCGGACATTTTTCGTCAAATTCTTTCCTTTCAATTTGTTTTGATCATTTCAATATGTCCTTTGACTGTATCATATTTTCTTGTACATTTTTAAACTGCTTTCAACTGTCCATTTCTCGAGTTAATAACGAAGCAGAGGAAAATGCTACGTTATATGAAAATGGTGCACAAAAATGCATCAAATTTCTATCCATCAGGTGCTTAGATCAATTCGCAAATTTTTGTACCATCTGAATGAACCATCACCACCACCAAAATTACTCTTGCATTTCTGTTGATTCTTCACCATGGACCGAACGCCTATTCAGAGCCAGCTGGCTATTTCACATTATTGCTTTGAATACTGTTATTATTAACATCTTGCAGATGCAATAACCATTACGTCTGAAAGTATTATTCCTGGAGTGAATTTGTTGAAAAATTACATGCTGAGAATTCCATAGTATCATACATATTGTTTGGAATAAAGCGATTATTATTATTGATACACTACACTTAGCTAAGACCATACCTTGTCATAATATTTTTGAAAACGGTTCCACCTCAAATCATCTGTACTTGAAAGATAGCGGGAACCAGAAGGCAGCCTGGTTTGCATAAATTGATAGTATTTTGTTTTTCATATTTAAAAAGTGATACTTAGTCACCCTCTTACGCTTTTACTTGACAACACGTCATTTAGATAGTGTATTCGTTTGTGATTTGTTATTCTGCATATTTAATTAAATATTTCATTCTCATTTATAAATGAAATACTCCCTTTTTTACAGGTTCGTTTTCCATCTCACTTTAGTTCAGATTTAAAAGATTTACTTAGAAATCTTTTACAAGTTGATTTAACTAAACGTTTTGGAAATTTAAAGAATGGAGTCAATGATATTAAAACACATAAATGGTTTGCCACAACTGACTGGTTTTCTATCTACAAGCGAGATGTAAGTCTTATTATTATTTTCCAAATACCATTAAGTAAGATTGGATTCAGGATAATTTTTTAAGCAGGCAGTGAGAACATGATGCGAAAAAGTAGCCTGTTCAATACGATCAGCTTTGCTTGCATTTCATCCCAGTTGAATTTTCCAGTTTGCAGTTAAAATGTCTGTAGTGATTCTTTTTCTTTTGTCGATCGACAAAGCAATAATTTAGTGTATTTTTACTGTTTCTAAGTGAATGTGTGTGGATGTATTGTTATTGTTCTTAAGTGAGGTGTTTAGGTTATCGTAATAGTTATGTGAGCAGTAAACACTTGTGTCATGATATCATCTTGTTAATGGGATTATAAGTGGGCTTTACACTTAACCTATAGGAAAAACCTTTAGGCGAAGAAAAAGGATTCAAACATGTGTTAGCAAATCACTTTACCGCCATGATATGCTTATTTGTCTGCTGTGTGCTTGATTATCAGCTTACATACAAGCATTCCAAATCCTAGATAGCTTTCATCAACACTAAGAGACTTGAGAATTCGGCAAGGAAAAACCTCAGTTCAGCAGATAACTAAATCAAATTAGGCATGATGGTTAGCAGATGTACCAAATATTTTGAAGTAATTTTTCGGTTGATTCATTTTAATAATATTGGTCTATGACGTCTACATTGTCGGTAGTATATTCTAGTGGTCAATAAATGAAATACTTTGTGTGAATATATTTTTGTGTCAAGTCTCACAGACAAAAGACCTGTTACAGCTACCTTTTTGATACGGTTGACTGAACTCAGCAAAAAGTCCATGGATAAAATTACGTAATGGATTCAACTGTAATCACTAACAGCATGCATTGATGACTGTAGAAGGAAATCATTAGACTACTCATATAATCTAAAAACTCAGGCATCAACTTGTTTATACAAAATTTGGTTATAAAAATGTTTGATATGATAACTGTTTTAGACGGATATTTGTTTTCGATAGCTAACTTAAAACCCCTTTTTGGAATCAATGTTTAAGTAGCTACTTTTTTACTGACTTTGAATTCTTATTTTCAATATGTGTATACATCACTTCTAATTTCAGTAATTACGGAGTTATATTAAAACAGTTCTACCAAGCTAGTGTTGTTTCACATGGTCCCATCAACAATTTACTAGTTACCTTCCCTATCTAATTCAGCTAGAGTTTGTCTGTAATGGGAAGTCTCCAGTATGTTGGCCACGGTGAACAGATAGTTGTGTATCATTCATCGAAATAACATCCTGACCAAATTTTCAATGACTCATATAAAATTAATATGTCATCAGCGATGGTATCTTCCAATTCAGCCAATAGGATACCTGACTGGAGACCCTGAAGGGACTGAATTGAATTCTGTTCAGTTTTTCTTTCATCTATGCTTGTCACTCCAATTTATTGCATTCGGGTTGAAGAACCTATAGCTTTCGCATTGTAATGTCAAAAATATGTTTGCCCTCATTTTCTGAATACGCCTAAATCATGTTAAATAACTGTCTTCTATCTTTTAGAGATCCGCCTTATTAGGCCTTACGTTGAGTAGAAGAAACTAATCACTTACAGAGTTGAGAATCAGTGATCCTCATCTTTAGATCGGTTAGTTTTCAGTATATCATGACCAGCAAAGTATTCATCGTCAATCCCGACTTGATTGAATTCACAGGACAACAGAAATCCTACCTCTGCCCAACTGAGCCCTGTGGCCGATTGATCGAAAGGCTCGACTTTTAACCAGTGGGCCAAAAGTTCGAATCCCGCTCTAATTACTAACGTTTTCGCCTCCAGACATTACCGTTAGCCCTTAAGCAATAGGTATTGTTCAATAACGACTGTACAGCCGTTCACGTGGTTGGTGAGTAGATTTGCTTTCCCCTATCCCAATGAATGCTGAGGTATTATTCAGATGTACACCGTGGTTGACAGTTAAAGTCAGATCATGGTTGCAGTCGGTCATCAAGCGTGACTATCAGACCGTTTAGTGTTCCAAATTATTGGTTTCGTGAGATAAAAACAGATGAATTTGCACACGTCATTTGTGTTCATTGTTGACATGCACATATTTATTGATAGTTCCGTCTTTCTCACGCATGCCTAGTCGATATATAAGTGTAATTATTAACCTAAATGACTGCATTTTAGAGATTTCTCACAGAACCATACAAAATTAAGTCTTAAATGATTTGGTTGGTCACTAGGAGTTTTCATAGTTTCTGTTTGTCTGTGTATTCCCTCTTATGGATTGCTTTTTCTCTTTTATTAGTTGCTTTCATACTTTGTAAAAATGAACTGTTTATTTTAGGCTGACCACTTTTCTTGCCTAGTTGAGTTTTATGATTCTCCTACTTGTTGAAAAAATATAAACAAATTGTTTTTAAATAACAAAAATACGATAAAAACAGCTTCCTTATTTTTCAAAGTGGCTGTTGTCCCAGACTAAAATCATTTGGAAAATTACCGCAAACATGTGAACAGCAGAAACCTTTCTCGTCATAGTTTCAAAATCCACAACTCTGCATAATCACGTCCCCATGAGTGATTGAGCCCAGAGCCATTAGGTCTTGAGACTAGCACATTACTATACACACCAACTGCTAGATTCCACTGGATTACATTTTCCTATATACATCAGTTCCCCGCATATCATGGCCGTCATCTAAATCCACTGGTCAGAATATGTCTTTATTCCCAGATTAAGTGATACCACAGGTCACTGTCCCTCATCCATTGGAAGCAAGTAGATAATGGGCGCTAGGAAGTAGTTAAATTTTTAACAAGAGTGATTTTGTGCAGATCATGCGTGTGAAGAGTCAGCAGTATATGACGAACATGTTTATGAGAGTCACAATCGAAAATTCCCAGATTCATCTCTAGGATTCAATTGTCACCTGTAACGTTTCCCCAGGTTCATATTTCAATATTCTATTGTTGGCATAATGTGTATACCTTTGTCCGGAAATCGCTACATTGACGTTGCTATAAACAGACACTAGACTAGGTAAGTGAACTCGATATTTTCGCCCCCAACTTGATGCTGCTAACTAGTTACGACTGAACTGTAATTATCCCAAGGCGTAGTAAAATATCAAGCTGCTGATCAACTGACTACAAGTATGTATTCAGTGATACTGCAGAACAATCCGCCAATGAAATAAAATGTCCTCGGACTTTTGCTGAAATAAGATGACTTTCAGCTCTGTTTCATACAGGTGACGGTTAACAGAGGTCAGTAAGTAGTCAACAAATTCTCATCAATGAATGTTACTCTTTTATTCTGTCCATTATGACGAATTCAATCATATGTAATATGATGTTGAATATTTGCAGCTAATTTCTCTTCAGTCAGTAGCATTGTAAATAACAATGAATATGGACACTTCCAACTTTTTACACAAGAAAAACCATAACACTGAGAGTAACAGAGCTACCGGAACATCAGTTACCCGCATGTAATATGAGGTGACATATTCTTCTGCGTCATGCTTATTACTCCCAAGATATTTCGATGAAACTCTGTACATTCCTCTTTTCTAACCAGTTACTGGTGTATCCTGACAATTCTTTTCGTTTCATGGACTGCACTTTCCTAGACTTTTGATTATGATAATCGATAGTTATTAAAATCATAGTTTTTATTCTCTTCCGTCACATATAGATTGAAGCTCCGTTCACTCCTAAATGTTCTGGAGCTGGTGATGCGAGTAATTTCGACGATTATGAAGAAGAACCTTTACGCATAGCAACGACGGAAAAGTGTGCAAAAGAATTCAGCGAATTTTAACGCGCACTATTGCCATTTTTATTTTCACCACCATCCATACCACCACAACTATTATTAATAATGCTAGTAATTTAATCCATACGATTATTATTATAATTGGCGAATTATGTTATGGTTTTTGTTACTTTATATGCTTACACTTTTAGTTAAAAAGGTACAGCTTTTTGTCTGTTAATCTCATCTTTTGGTATTTCTCCTCTATCTTTGTGTTCCTCTTTTTCGATATGATCTGCACATTTTTCAATGCTGTGTTTGAATAAGTCCTGTCGCTCACTTCGTGTGTTATTACTTTCCTTTTTTTGATACATTTATACTATCGTTCTGTGGGCTTGTGGATTATGTCACACAACTGATTCATAGTGCACAAGTTCATTGTTGATTCACCAAGCGTACACTGTCGTGCGCACAATGAGTTTGCTTTACTCGTACGCCTGATTACGCGGAAGTGCTTTCCGTCCTCTCTCTCTTTAGTGTTTATCAAATGTTTTTCCTTGTCAGGCTCTAAGTTAACTGTATATGTGGGAATTCTTTTTGCTCACCTCCACCTCCCTTTCACCGTCATCATCATCCAAGATTGTTCAATAAATGGCAGTCTTTTAGTTATATGTGAGGGTACTTTACCTCCACCGACGTTATTATTAAATGCACCCAGACCACTATGAAATTACAATGAATACATTTTTTAAATGCTTTTGTTTTAAATCATTGCCGTCCCTGAATTTTTCTGACAACCACTACAACATAGGAAGAGAATGGACAACGACAAATATAAGGCTGTTATTACTGTTCTAAAAACTAATCTTCCTCTTTTCACCCTTATCTTTATTTCATTCAAATACTATTGATACTAATACAGCTACTGATACAGTATGAAAAACATTTATCCACTGGTAAGAAATTGATTTTAAGCGTTGAAGGAAAAAAAGAGTACAATTGTGCTCATTTTATTGTTGCCTCATTCACAACCGTTATGACATCATTTGTTAACAGCACAATTGTCATTTTTAAATAATTATCTATCTGTTTGTGTCCGTCTTAATGTTGGCATTCCACTGACTCAATTTCTTCATACACATATGAAAAGCGGGAACGGCATAATTATAAAAGTTTTCTCCTGTTTTGTATTCTACTCATGTGTAACTGCTTTCTTTGTTGACTTTCTTTTATTCGCTTTCTCTCATTTATGGAAGATTGCTATTCTGCAAATCTGATTACCAAGTGGTTTATTTCTTTCATCTTAGAATATTTTTTGAAATGATTCAAAGTTGAGTTTATCTTTTATTTCGATCGAATAAGAAGAAAAGACTACTGTGATCATGAATAATATTTAAGTGAAAAGTTTACCAGCCGATTAATATGTTTTGGACTTCATTTCTCTATGTTCCACTTTACTACCCTTTCTGTTTTTGTGAATCATTGATTCGAATAATTGAGTACTGCTACGTTCTCCTTCCTTCTCTCACACTGTTTTCGTTTGAAATCACCTGGCTATTTTCATCATTTTGGTCTTGTAAATATATTTATAAATATATATATGTACACCGTTAGTTGTTGTCACTTGAGCCGAAATGAAAAAATTTACTTATCTATTGGTTTTTTCGTGTTTTGTTTTGTGTTCTTGTTTGTCGGTTATTGGCAGTATCCCTAGTGCTCCCTACTATCCTCATGAAAGTTATGATGGAAGTTAAGTGATGTCCTGCATGCGGTTTATTTCGTATGATTGGGATTCATAAACAACGCGAAACCGTGGAGAGGAAGATAATTGCTCTTATCTTTGTTTCATAATTTATCTTTTACTTGGATGTCTCATGGCAATATTGTTTATCTGTTTATTTCTATGCGGATATACAGTTTAGTTTCTTGTTGACATTTCCGCATGCTCGTTTTTCACATTCTGCTTATCCATAATATAATCTAGGCACACTTGTTTGCAAGTGCATAAGTTATGCATAAGTTGTATGCATGCACAAGCAGACGGGTAACCGTACCCTTATGACTATTTGTCTATCCTTCTTCTCGTTTGTTTCATTGTTAGTAAATGTGTAGCGTAGATGTATTTTGTTTCGATCAGCTTTTTATGAATACACAAGTCATTCTAGTAAGGATTTTTATTTCACGTCGACTAAATAGTCTTAGCTGCTTTACCATTATTTTGCTGATACTGTATTATTTTGAGTTATGTTGTATTGTTTGCTTTTTTCTATACATTATTCCTATCTCCACCTACTTGACTATCCAGCAAAGGGGTGGGGAGGAGTAAAAATATGCAAATGTAACTCCTTTTTGTTCGCATTGTTGAAGGTATATAAATAGGTTTGTTATGTTCAGTAAATCAAATAACTAATAAATTATTTAACGCTGATTTAGTTGTTACATCACATGGGTTGAAGTAGTGGTTGTCTTATTACTTCTGTTTGACATTAGCGTACTTTCCACCTTATGTTATCCGTCAGTGTTCTGTTAACCGATCGGCTTCTCAGGTGCAGGCTAATGCCGCCATTTATGGCCTAATTTCAATAACCATTTCTTGAAACATTTACAGAATTAAAAAAACTTCAAATTCTGCTCACGTACAAACACGAAGACAGCAAAACCAACAAGTGCAACATGAGGATGTGAACTCATGTTTTATTACTTCGAGGATAATTCTCAACTATGGTAGTAATAGACAAAACAACTATGTACACAAAGTGGAATCGATTCTGGTTGATTCAATAACACTCGGAACTGACCACTGCAACAAAGATTTGACTGAATCACCGGAAAGATGCGTATCACAGAAATTAAGAGAACTCTTGAAAAAGAAACTAATCGACAGGATCACCTACACCGAAGTAAAACCTAAAGAATCTAGATTACCTCGTGTATATAGCTTTCCGAAGGTACATACACCAGATATTCATGTGGGACCATTACTGTCTATAGTTTATTTCCTAAACTAGCCCGACGGTTAGCGAACTAGCTGGAGCTAATCATTCCGAAGTTAGTTGTCCACATTTTGAGAGAGCTTTAAATATGCTAAAATGCTGCGAAAAGTGAGCATTTCGGATAAATTTATAGCTCCTTATGATCTGTCATCTTCATTTACAGAGGTACAACTAGAAAAATCTATTGGGACTATTTGTTGACATTCAGACCCTCCTCCTTCACCAGAGATCACTTTCAAGCATGGAAAACGTCGAGCTCGGGTTTAAAAATGTCTTATATCTTTACACCGGCAACCTATTGGGTCTCATCCTGTATGACATATTTACGGATAACCTGTCGTAAACAAAGAAGATTCATACAATCAGTGAGACCGGGTGTTTCTGCTAGGCATATTGATGATACATCCGTGATTTGCAGTGAGCAAAGTGGTGCGCCTCACTTACTAAATCCCAACGTTGTTCATCCTACCTAAATTTACAACTTGGTTTGAATATGACAATAAGTTCCATTTGCTAAGTGTTGTGTTGATATTAAACGTGATACAAATGGCAACATTCAGAGGTACATTCATAGAAAGGAGACTTGGAGTGGACTATATTTGAATTTCAAAAGCTTCTCTTTTATGAGATACAAAACATGGTTGCCCAAGATATTCAGCTACACCAGAAAGCTGTACTCGAAAGAAAAAAATGAGGAAATATGCATTGTTCAGAAGTGTTTGCGTGATAATGGTTATCCGCCGAAGTTCACTGACAAATACGAGAAGTTTAATACGAAAAGTATAGAATGTAGCACAGTATACACTGAGTAGAATATATCCGGCTGCCTATTTGATCTGTTTATAACAGACAAATGGCCGCCTCTTTTCACTTCCAACTCAAACTATTAACTCAAGTTTACGTACTGAAATACATTAGAATAAGAGAGGAGGGTTTTCGTTCCCACTTCTGAGAATACTTTCAAGAATCAAGGGGTTCACATGCAAAGAACAGCATAATTGCACGTCATTTGATTGATACTAGACACAGTTAACAGTTTTAAATTGATCAATAGGCCGAAAACCCATGCCCATTACTTTTTGTCAAAGTGATAGCTATCAATAGACTGAAAAGCGAATCTAGTTTTGCAAAAGGATACAGTTGTCAACTTCGCCCTGCCGTCGTAATTGTTTACGATGAAACACAAACTTTTGCTACATTTATTTTCTTAAATCACTCTGTCTTGTAAATTTAATTTTTGTTACAAACGGTATTATTTTATCGAAACCCTACTCACCCTACTCTTCATAGTACTGTAAATCCATAGTATTTTGAAGTTACCCGATGTAAGATAATGATTTTCCATCAACCTCTTAACTTTCAAGATTATTCACCTGATAATCATATAAGTAGTCAATCTTCCTCTCGCATTCCTAGCGATCTTTGGAACATAATCATTTACAGTATCTGTGTAATCTACTGGCTGATTCTGCCTAAAACGTCCCATCAACCTTCTGGGAGCATTTTCAATTCTTGTTATTTGTATATTTTGATATGATTCAAGTTGTAAGCAGTTGTGAAGAATCGTAGAAATGCTACAACATGAGATCATATTTTCTTGCTACGCTCGTTTTTTTCGGTGTCTAAGTAGGAATTTTCTAGTCTTAATTTTGGATTTTAAGAATTAGTTGACATGTAAGCCCTACCTGGTATACGTTTTACGCTCAAAGCACTGATCACCTTGGAGAATCAAACTTTTCCATTGAGTATTTCAGGGAATCACTTATTCTCTTCATAACTGGATTATGTATACGAGTTGATTACTAGATGATAACTGGTATACTTGAGCATTAAGACGTAGCAGCTACGTCATTTAGAAACAGAAGTTAATTATCATTACAATAACTTTTCATTGTATAGAGCAACACTTAGTGGTGAATAGTAAGAAAATCGTATTGCCTACATTTTTTTACACATAGAATTCGTTTGTTGACCGAGTTGTATGCTCCGGGATGCGGTTGCAGTAGTCATTGCGTCAAACACTAGCCTTTTACACTAGATAGCTGAATTAGTAGATATATTTAGCTCCACAAG